GCGGTCCGATTTGAGTCCTACTCAGGCTTGCTTCTCTGAAGTGGGGAAAAGGCATGTGAAGCCATTGCAGTCTGCTAATTATGTTGGTACCATTTAGGTGATCTGGATACAGGTCTTGAAAATGTTAGTCAAGTGCTGCTTGATGATCTGAGTGGAGAAGTCACAGTGTTACGTTCTGTGTTACACTAAATGGGAGGTAGTGTCCCTCCGGGCTTTATGCTCTTTGTTGTTTGTTTGTTGTTGTGTTGTTGCTTTTCTTAAATCAGAGAATCATAGAGCACGCCAAGTTGGAAGGGGCCCACAAGGGTCATCAAGTCCTGTGTTTTTTTATTTTGTTCTCAAAAAAAACCCACAAAAAAGCCACAAGAAATAAAAGTAAATCCAAAAGAAAGATACGCCTTAAGCTTCCTCTTCCCTTCATTGTCCTGGAAAGAAGGGAACTTGCCCAGTTTAATCAAATAAAGGAGGAAGTTGCTCTACCAGCAGGCCATAATGTGTTCGGGAAAGTTGTGAAAGGGCCGGATGCTGCTGGATCAGTGCTGTAGAGATTGAGAGGTGTGTGTGTGTTCTCCCTGCCATGTGATGAAGACCTTGTGCCACACCAGAGAAAGCGAATGGGATAGGAGGAGAAAAGGAAGTACACGCTATGAAATGAAGTGGGAGTCCAACAACACACATCCATGTGTATATGTCTCCAGTGCAGTTACATCTGTCTGGGTCTCTCTGTCCAGTGATTGACGCAGTCGTGCAGTGACTGAGCTGCTCAGATACTAAAGCTCTTAGCCTTTGTATAACGTAAGAAACTTAGCAGGGCTGGAAAAGGAGGTTCTCTGTTTCACCAAGAAAGAAACTTTTTTGATTTTACTGGTCATTGAAAAGGAGTCGGATAAGACATAATTACCGAAGGCTGATTTACAATTGTGTTGTTAATCTTGCTCGTTATTTGCCACTGATAGTAGTAATAGATAAAGATTATTTTTCTTTTTTTTTTTTTTTGGATGTAGTCAACTTTCGTTTTTTTTAATCTATCCGTGCTTCTGGATCTGCTCTTCTCCTTAAAGGCACACATGGTAATTACATTTGCTCTGTAATCTCCTCTTCTCAGATGCTAGCCTGAGATAGATTACCTCATGTTAGACGTCTTGATCTTCATAGCAATGACTGCGGGCTGGATAGTAAGGACACTATGGAGAGAAAAAGGCTATAAAGAGAAACAAGGCATATTCAGCACAGTGGCTTGTACATGCACATAATGCTGGCGAGCAGTGACTAATCAGGTAGGTTTGGAGAGAGTCAAGCATCCTTAAGAGAGTCAAGCATCCTTAAGTGTCTTGAGATGGTTGCAGGTGTTCTAAATGTCACTGACGCACCTTGCTTCTGTCAGCCTTTGTGCAGCGTGGCTCTGGCCTTCATACCATGAGTGATGTGTGTTTATACCTGAATAGCCTTCTCACAAACACTAAAGCCAGATTTAAGGGGAAGGGGCTGAAGGCAGGTGTTTGTTCTGCAGAAACATGACCCTACTTGTGATCAAGAGTACCGTGTCAAAAAATAAGAAGTCATTTCAGTATTCTTAAGCCTAATAGTAAGAGAAAGTGCAGGTGTGTTTGTGTAACTCACTTTGATTTGTGTACTTTCTGGAAAACATATAGAGAGATTTTGTGTATGTGTATGTTCATGTGCTTTCCTTCTCTATGCACCCCTGTTTATCTCAGGATTACAAATCATCTTCTTAGAGCTGAGAGGACTGCTTATCCAGGAGCTGTGTGCAATTCCTTGAGAAATTCATGTTTGTGTAGCTTCCTTATGTTTGTGTATTGATACAGCGCTACAGAAATACAATGAAAACTTCGGTCCCAGAAAGTTCACAGAATCACAGAAATGTAGGGGGGGTTGGAAGGGACCTCGAAAGATCATCGGGTCCAACCCCCCTGCCAAAGCAGGTTCCTCAGAGCAGGCTGCCCAGGTAGGCGTCCAGACGGGCCTTAAATATCTCCAGAGAAGGAGACTCCACAACCTTGCTGGGCAGCCTGTTCCAGTGCTCCGTCACCCTCACTGTGAAGAAGTTCTTTCGCATGTTGGTGTGGAACTTCCTGGGCTCTAACTTGCAGCCATTGCCCCTTGTCCTATCCCCACAAACCACTGAGAAGAGGTTGGCAACATCCTTCTGTCCCCCACCCCTCAGATACATACACGGAGGAGATCCCCTCAGTCTTCTCTTCTCCAGGCTGAACAGACCCAGGTCTCTCAGCCTTTCTTCATGGGGAAGATGCTCCAGGCCCCGTATCATCTTTGTGGCCCTCCGCTGGACTCTTTCCAGGAGATCCCTGTCTTTCTTGTACCGGGGAGCCCAGAACTGGACACTGAACTCCAGGTGAGGGAGTAGAGGGGGAGGATCACCTCCCTTGACCTGCTGGCCACGCTCCTTTTAGTGCACGCCAGGATCCCATTGGCCCTCTTGGCCACGAGGGCACAGTGCTGGCTCATGGTCAGCCTGTCATCCACCGGGACCCCCAGGTCCTTTTTGTCAGCTTTCCTCTCCAGCAGGTCATCCCCCAGCCTGTACTGATACTTCGGGTTGTTCCTTCCCAGGTGCAGGACTCTACACTTGCTCTTATTAAATCTCATTTGGTTTCTTCCTGCCCATCTCTCCAGCCGGTCCAGGTCTCGCTGAATGGCAGCACAGCCTTCTGGCGTGTCAGCCACTCCTCCCAGCTTTGTGTCATCGGCGTACTTGCTGAGGGCAGACACTATTCCCTCATCAAGGTCATTGATGAAGATGTTGAACAAGACTGGACCCAGCACCGACCCCTGGGGAACACCGCTAGTCACAGGTCTCCAGCCGGACTCTGCGCCGCCGATCACCACCCTCTGAGCTCGGCCAGTTCTCAACCCACCTTACTGTCCACTCCTCTATCCCACACTTCCTCAGCTTTGCTCTCGGGATGTCATGGGAGACAGTATCAAAAGCCTTGCTACAGTCAAGGTAGATGACATCCACTGCTCTCCCCTCATCTACCCAGCTGGTGATGCCATCACAGAAGGCAATGAGGTTGGTCGAGCACGACTTGCCCTTGGTGAACCCATGCTGACTACTCCCCATAACCTTCTTCTCTTCCAACTGCTTGGAGATGGCATCCAGAACAAGCTGCTCCAACACCTTTCCAGGGACAGAGGTGAGACTGACTGGCCTGTAGTTTCCCGGATCCTCCTTCCTGCCCTTCTTGAAGACCGGAATGACATTGGCTATCCTCCAGTCTTCAGGCACCTCTCCTGTTCTCCAGGACCTTTCAAAGATTGATAGAGAGCGGTTCAGCGATCACCTCTGCCAACTCCCTTAGCACACGCGGATGCATCCCATCGGTACCCATGGATTTGTGTGCATTGAGCCCACTCAGGTGCTCCCGAACCACTCTCACATCCACCAGGGGGGAGCCGTCCATTTCCCAGACCCTTTGTCGTATTGCCAGGGGCAAGGAGTCCCGGGAAAGTGTCCTTGAAGCAAAGACTGAAGCACAGAAAGCATTCAGTATCTCTGCCTTCTCAGCGTCTCCCGTGACCAGGACACTCCCTCATTCAGCAAGGGACCCACATTATCCCTAGTCTTCCTCTTGCTGTTTACATACTTGAAAAAACCCTTCTTACTATCCTTTATCTCTTTTGCAAGCCTCATCTGTAGGTGGGCTTTAGCCTTCCTTATTGCATCCCTGCAGGCCCTGACAACACATCTATACTCCTCCCAAGAGGACAGGCCCTTTTTCCATATTTCATAGACCATTCTCTTCCTTTTGATCTTATTGATAAGCTCCTCGCTCATCCATGTGGGTTTCCTGCCCCCCTTCCCCGATTTCCTATTCCTCAGGATGCACCGACCCTGAGCATGGAAGAAGTGCTGTTTAAATGTAGCCCAGCTGCCACATGCACCCTTGCCTTCTAGCAACCTAGCCCATGAGATACTCCCAAGCAGGTCCTGTAAGAGGTCGAAGTTGGCTCTCCATAAAGTCCAGGGTTGCAATCCTGCTTGTAGCCTTACTTCCTTTGCCTGGTTCCATCTGGAACTCCACCATCTCATGGGCGCTGCATCCCAAGCTGCCCCCAACCTTCACATCCCTAACAAGCCCATCCCTGTTGGTAAGGACAAGGTCCAGGAGCACCCCCCACCTCGTCGGCTCCTCCACCACCTGCGTCATAAAATTGTCCTCAACGCATTGTAGGAACCATTTGGACTGCGCGTGCCTGGCCGAGTTGCTTACCCAGCAGATGTCTGGGTAATTGAAGTCCCCCATGAAAGTTGACTGATTCCTTTTTCACTTAATTTCTGGATTAATACAAAGCTGTTTGTTAACAGAAATATTTCTTTGTAATGGTCACACTTATATTATGGTGATATATACAGCTTACTAGAGGTTTTGTTCCACTCCTGTTTGTTCATGAGATTCTTAAATGCTGACTGTAGGTGACTTGGGATTCATGGAAAGAATATCCTTTGTTCAGGTAGTCCTTTAAGTTTGGAGAGTGTTCCTAAACTTGTGTGTCTTCCAAGGTTTTCTGTTAGTTTCTTGTCTGCACTGTTAAAGACAAAAGTGCATTCAGGTGGAGGGCTGGTTAATGTGTCACAGGTATTCTTCTCTTCTGTTAAAGTTTCTTTATTTATAGATGTCTAAGGAGAAGCTTTTCCCATTCTCAAGAGAAAGCTAACTGGTAACGCTGCAAGACATTGAGTGTATGATGTCTGCTGTGAAGGAGAATTTTGTTATGGCTATTAAGTATTCTACTAGTCCTACTTCCTGATACTTTATACGAGCAAGATTTCTATAGCAGTCAAAAGAATGGCAAAGTACATTTATAAATACTGTGCCCCCCTCAGATACAGTTACTTTAGACATTTGGCTTCCCCTTGCTCAAAAAGAAAGAGCACAGTTGCTGAAATTCCACACTGACTGTCAATATTGCTTCTGTGATCATGTCTTTTTTTTTTTTCCTTCTCTTCCCTAAAACAGCCCACTGTTTGTAACGTGGAAGATCGGTCGAGATAAACGATTGCGTGGATGCATAGGTACTTTTTCCGCCATGAACCTGCATTCAGGACTCAGGGAGTACACGCTTACTAGGTAAGATTTTGTTTCCTGCAGCCTTGACTTAATTAAATACTCTACTGGGGAGTTGATAGGTGTGTTTTGGTTTGTTTGTTGGTTTGGTTTTTTTTGGCTGTGTCACTGTACTGATCAATGAAAACTTCTATCTCCCTTTGATGCTAAACATCATTGCCTGGTTATTTGACTACTGATGCCATGGGATAATGGTTTCATTTAAACCATAACTTGATCCTTTGTATTATTTTTTACTGGTTTAGAAAACTACTCTCCAGTAGCTTATTGTAACTGACTGTTTTAGTATTTTTTTTCCCAGTGCTCAGACAAATTTTAAGCTTAATAGTTAATGTGAGGGCAGAAGACCAGAAAGTCAGATTTTGGGATTATCCTATTCACGCTTCTAAAACAGCAGGTATTCTCACCTCTTCTCCATCAGGTGCTTCCAATCAGCTGCAGTTAATTTAATGCTACAAATTTCCATTACATGTTACTCTTCAGATACATCCCAGCCCCCGAGCGGGAAGCTTCTGGATGAGGGAGGTAAGTGATGATAATCCTTCACTCCCCGGCAGCATAATCCTTCATTTTTTTGATCTACACCTAAATTCATTCACCTTAATATTGTTCCATTTTCTTTGCATAGAGTGAAAACTAATCAGTTTATCACTAGAGCTAGTAGTAAGCTTTCTACTTTCTTAAGTTTATTTTCTAAAGAATCAACAGAATTTTGTCCTTTCAGTTGTAATAGACTGTTTATGGTGCTTTAAAATAGAAACTATAATCAGGCATGTAAAGACCTCTAAAATTATCATCACTTAAAATAATTGGTGCCTCCAGATCACTTTAGATTGGAGGCTTTCCTCCATTATGGGATCTTCCTCTTTTGCTGTTAAAGCTTCATGTCAATCCCAGTATTGAGTAAGATTAATATGGGGGAATGTTCTTTCTTACATGTCTCACTAGTTTGTTACAAGCTGTTCATTTTTTGCTTCTGTCTACTCAGCTTGAAGGAATCAACTGCTGGAGTTCCTTACAAACTTCTCTAAGACCTAGTTACCTTTATCCTCTTGGCTTTATTATGTGCTGTGGAATATTTGCTTGTGTCCTTTAAAACCTCAGCAATCAAAATGGTCAGTGAGAAGAAGCTTAAATTCAAAGCAACTCCTCTGTTGAAGGTTAAATGTCTTACAGGTGTAAACATTTGTGAGCCAGATGGGAGGGGGGCTCCTCTAGCCCTCTGCAATAGAATGCTTTTAATTCCTCACAGTGCCCAATCCAGAACAGTGAGCTTGTACAGAAAATTTCCCTCAAAGACTAGGAAGAAGGTGATAGCCAAAAAATAGTCTTACAAACTGATAAAGTATAAGAATGAGGAAATGGAAATGTATCAGATATCTCTTACCAGAATGGAATTCTCACACTTGAAGCTGAGGAGTAGCTGTTTGAAATCCTTGCAATTGATGAAAATTGATCAAAAAATGATGTATGCAAACAGCAGTATTGCTAATAGATTATCCACTGTCACAAATCAAATAGTGCTGTACTCTTGCATAATTTTAATAAATGCTTAAAAGATTCCCGTTGCATCATTTTAATTCTAAAATCTGAAGTCATAGTATAGGAGAAGTGATGCAAAAGTAAAGGGGACTCAAATATTTTCAATGCAGTATTTAAGTAATGGCTGCATTCTTTGGAAGGTTATACCAGGCTATCCAGAGGATAATTCAGTAATATTCAAGAGAAGAAAAATGGAACTACATACCAACCTATTTTTCAAAAGTTGTTGCAAGTAAAATGTCGTGTTATTTTGTGGCATATAGGATTTTATTATCTTTTATGTGGAGCCTTTTTCACATGGATTGCACCAAAAATAAACAAACAAAAAGAAGACAATAACAAAAGTAAAAACGAAAGAACTCAGAAGTGACTGCTGAAGTGTAAAGTTCCTATTTGAATTTACTAAAAAACTGTTCTTTTATCTCTGTCATTGTTTAAAAAAAAAAAATAGGTAGGGATACCTGGAGCAGTTTTCTTCATGGCATTAGTAATTCCAGCTACAGAGCTTCCAGCAGAGAGTGTTTGAGGAATAACAGAAGCAGTTTTGAAATGCCTGTGAACTTCTGGAGTTTGGAGTTCCACAAGCCTTGCCCGAAGGTATCAGAAACCAGGACACTGTAACTTGATGTGGGCAGTAGGCTCTTGCAGAAGATACAGCAATTCCTGAAAGTAAACAAAAACTTCTTCAGGGGTGGCAAAATTAATCAGTAAAGTAGGTAGTATGAAGGGGCTCTCCATTTCAGAAAGTGGAACTTGACCACAATTTTCAGTTGAGGATACAGGCAGATATTCTTCTGACTGTATTTTCCTTTAACACTGAAAGGCACTTTTCTTCAGTTATTCTGAAGATACAGCATTGCTGAAAAGAACCAAGTTGTCTGTCTCGTTCATTCTTACATTTTTCAGCACCCTCCATGGAATTGTGGCCAGTTCACATCAGGCAAGATTTTATTACCAATATACTGCATAGTGCTTAGAATCTCAATAAATCAGAATTCCCTTAACCCTAGTAGCAATCTCTAATTGTATATTGCATAGTGTGTGGTGTATACACCTCTACCTGTGTACAGAAAGAAAGAATAACTTTTCAAATAACGATGATTGTTTGTCTGAGGTGAACAATTTCCTTCTTGGGACAAGGACAAACACACGTTTAGAAAACCTTTTTTTGGTCTGTATACAAAAACAGTGAAGAATTGTGACCTAGTATGTTTCTTTTCCCCATTTTGAGCTCTGTAGGTTGTTATGCTGGTATGCTAGTACATTCTAAACAGGAAATTTATGTAGAATGATTCATCATTAATTGGATGCATCTGCCTAAGTCGTGAGGAGGGATGAGAATACCATAGTTAAAAATGCTAGTGCTGTATTCCTAATAAAATCTTAGAATTCAATTTTCTCTGCAGTTATATCAGTGACACGGGAAGGAAGTATATTATTAAAATCCTTTGCAGAATGTTATGAAAACATAGATTCAGAGTTAGTGGCTTCAACATAATTTTACTAAGAGGTTAGTTGAATAAAATCTATCCGTTTTCAAAATGTTTCATTGTGTTGAATATTTAAATTAGGATGTAAGAAGTTTATAATGGGCGAAATAGTTCTTTAGACTGAATGTGTGAATATCCCTTCTGAATGCATAAAAGTAAACCAATCCAGATTATGAAAAATACTTTGTGTTTTCCAGCTCCTTCAAGAAAATACACTGAACTTGGAAGCAGGTTACCACAGATTTTCCTAACAGGTTGATAAACTACTTTCTTGTGTGTTCTGTTCAGCAGTAAGACTTAAATTTTGGCACTGAAGTTTTAAACTCCTGCTCTTTTACACCTGAGATACTGAATGAAATGGTTTAATTTATTTTATGCATTTTAGTTATTTCTTTTCCAGACATGTCATATAATTGGAAGTCATACTTCACACTTAGTAGATGTAGCTGTGTCAATTAAGTTTTAACAATTTTTATCCTGTCAAGGCTAGAATATGTATTTTTTCCTTCCCCATATAAATATATATACTTCCCTCCCTAGTATATATATGGGGAAGAAAACAGTAGAGAAGATACAAATAAAGAGAGACTGCTTGTATGGATTATATGACACACAAATCTTATGTCATAGAAGAAAGCAGTGAAATAAAACTACAGGGCTGCAAGACTTAAGTGGATTAGCATAGTGGCTGAAAACTGAATTTAAATTTTTAAGTAATATATAAGTCACCATTCTTAACTAGCATAGACCTGTCTCTTCTGGCTGTATGATGTAATCAGTCTTTTTGTTGTGTGTTCCACCTGAGTATTACGACTACCTTCGGACATTCAGCCTCGCTTCCATAGATGTGGTTGGTCAAGAAATGCAAACAAAAAGGGAAGCTTGGGATGAGAAATTTAAGATCAAAGGCAATGAAACCTGCAGCCCAACTTTCTCATAATTGAATTTGGGTGTAGAGTCTGTATGACTACTAGTGACCAGTTCACTACCAGTGACTAGACTTCTATTGCCCGGTGTTTATCAGCAATTTCAAGAGTCAGTCCTTGCTGCTGCTATATCGCCTGCCTTCTCTCCGTGGAAAACAGCGATCCCTTCTGCCTGTCCCACACAGGAAAGCTAAATAGCCAACTGCAAAACTACAGTATGGCAACCGTATTTAAGGGGTAAAATAAAAACCAAAATTGAATGACCAATCACGTTAAAATAGATGTTGGCCTTATTTAGTTAAGACCAGAGGCAAGTATTTGTATAGACAAGGCATCTCCCCTCTCTGTTGAGCCTAGCTTAATTTGTTTAATTCCTTTTTGTTTTTACTAAGCATAGCCTCGTCTGACCTTCCTTGCTCGACCCAGCACTAACTTCACAAAGCCCTGACTATTGGGCAGTGCTGCTATGGGTGAGGATAGACATTGCTGCTGGCCCAGGGCAAAGCATACTCGTGTTGCTGACTGTAACTTTTGAACGTGGGGAGTGGGCGGTGTGCGGGGGCATTATATATGTTTGACATTTCTGTTGTGACGTTCCCTGTTCACAGAAGTCAGTCTGAACGAATTCTTGCTAATAGCATTTTACGTAATGTTTCAGAGCACATTGTTGCTTCTGTGTTGCCCATTGATAATACTTCGCAGGCTGTGGTATTGATTTATAGCTGATAGCTTCTGAAAGTCAACTTTTTTTATTCTATTACTACTCTGTGGCTGGTGTCAGCCAATGCAAAATGCCTGATAATTGCAAGGCGAAGCTTACACTGTCACTTTCAGAGTTAAACTCTGCAGAGCGATGTCAAGTCTTCTCCGTCTGAACTCCCCAGTGTTGTGCTATTCTTGTACGTTCAACATTAAAGCCAGGAAGCATAATGTTGCTTCTGTTGCTTCCTTTTCGTTTGTTTCTATGAAAAGCAGGTGTGCAACAGGGAAGCTGGATGGCAGATGGAATTTCTAGCATCTGTTGGTTGCCTCTGGGTTTTCAAGG